AATTTGATGTTTATAAGTTCAATTTACCCATTTAAATAGTTAAATACACTTTATTAACACATCATGTCAATCATTATTTTTATCATTTTAAATTTTGATCATTTTTGTATTAGTTTTTATAATAACAATAATTATATAATAAAATTAATATTAAAGAAATAATAATATATTATTATTTCTTTTTTTTGTGTTTTTCAATAATTACCAAGAAAAAATTATATTTCTATGATATTAGATAATAATAATATTTAAAAGGATAATAAGCAACATATAAAACAATGACACTGTGCATAATATATAATAATTTAAATTATAGTATCATTTATTTAATACAAAAATATAACCCACTCATTATTAAAGAATAAATAACAATAAATGATATATATTAAAGATATTACAATTTATCTATAAAGAAATAATAAATTTTTCATATAATAAATAAATTTGATAAAAGATAAATTAAAAATTATATAAAATAAAGAATATATTTAGAAATAACCAACAAAATAATTTTTAATTAATTAATACGTAATCAACAAATAAAAGAATTACAAACAACGAAAGTAATAATTGATGTTATAAATAATATAAAACAATAATTATTAAAAAGCTAAAATGTTTAATTTTTTATCTAAAAATTTCTAACAAAGAATGTGTAATATTTAGTGTTGTAATAAAATTAATTTCAAAATGAATATTAATAGAGAAATGTTATATACCAAAACCACCAAAATATTGATTTCTTAATGTAATAAAGTTTTGTTAATATTCTATTAATTGAAATAATTTCATATAACTAAAATTTTTTAATTAAACATTAATAATTTTCAAATAAAACATAAAATTAATATTGCTTATAAATTAATGAAAGTAAGTTATTGACTAGATAGATGTTTATTAAATACTACTACTCCTTTAACCTTTATCTATATCCTATTGCTTTAATTTTGATTCTTTAAGAATTGTCTTAATTCAAGTTCTTCATATGAAACTTTTTCTTAAGACTAGTGAATAATGTGATGGTTCAACAAATAAATTGTTCTTCTCCTTTTTAAATACAACAAAACTTTTCTTATTGACCAAAAAAAGATAGATCTAATTAGCCTCTAATGAATTCAATAAATTGTAAATCATTTTGAATATAACTCATTTCAGAAAACGTTAACTTGAATTTACAGATACTTAGCAAGAGGTTCTTCAGATAATTTATCTTTTCCATCAGTTTCTTTTGCAATTACAACTGTTTGTTGATAAATGGTTGTTTGTTTAGGAATTTGGTAATTGAAAAAAAATTTTTCACATAACTCTTTTACTTGGTTTTGTTCTTCTTTTTTAAATATTAAATAATTTTCCATTTCAGTACAACGTTTATTGCACTCTTCTAATGACTTATATATTTCTTGGTTAATCATAAAATCACATGGAACTTCTTCCTCCATTTTTTTATCATTTTCGTTTTGTACCTCTCTTTCTTCTTCTAGTCCAACCTTATTCTCTTTACCAAACTGAACAGTTTCTTCTTCATCTTTAAGTCCATATACTTTCTTTCTGTATTCATTATATTTGTCAGTTTCTTCTTCAGAAGGTATATAGTTGTCAATTGTTTCTATTTTTTTAATTTCTTCTCTAGCTTGTTTAGTTGTCATAACTCCTATATCAGTCTCTTTTCCATCTTCAATATACCTCTTATAATTTTCTATTCCTAGTGTTGAATTTGATAATTCACCAATACCAACTATTCGACTCCCATCAAATGCAGTTGTTTCAATAGTTAAATCCCAAGCAACTTTTCTTCTATCAACTTGTTTTATATTTGAAGAAATGTCAACTGATTTAACAAGTGATATATATTCTTCTTGTCCATTTACAACTTTAACATACTTATTTACTATATATCGTTCAAATATTGCGGTATCTGCATAAGAAAGGGCGTTCTCTCGAGTGATGTATAACTCTTTCATTTGTTTAAATGTTAATGGTTTTCCTTTGTCTTTCCTTCCTCTACTTTTAGGTGTTCTTGTACTTCTTGGTCTTTTCTTTTTCCTTTCCTCTTTTTCATCTTCTTCTGTTCCATCTTCTTCAACACTTATATCTTCTTCATCAAGAAGGTCTTCATCACTATGGTATTCTTCTTGATCATCAAGAAAGTCATCATCTTCTTCTTCTGTTCCATCTTCTTCCATTTTTTTTGTTTTACTTCTAGTAACTCGTCGTGGGATATCAGACATTCTTTAAATTTATATTAATAATAGTTCTTTTTATTTTTCATAAAACTATACTTAAACAATTAATTATTTAAATTAAATAGTAAATTAGATTTAGTTTGAACTTGATTCTTGTTCTTCCTGAGTGAGTAGTTGGGCAATTAAGAAATACAATGATAATCCAAGGAGGATGAAAGAAACAACAACAACTATTCCAGTAAGAATATAATTAGCCAATACCTTAAATGTGTATGGAGTTTTTATAGAACCTTTACCAAAATCTTTCTTATTTTTATAAATGGATAATATTTCTAATGTTGCAGGAATAGTAAATGCTAAGAATATTGCTAATAATCCAGTAACATCAAATATAACTTGTAAAGATCCTATTGCACATGTTAATAATAAAGGTGGAAGATAGGCAATTGCAAGACTAGAATATTGTGTAATTTTATTATGTTTTTCACGGAAACTATAAGTAAAACAAGTTTGAATATTTGTAGATAATGTTGTTCCAAGTAACGGATATGAGTTACATAAATTAACTACAGGAAATAATAAAATAATATATTGAATTGGATAAGCATACCACTGTGTTTCTCCTTTTCCCCATCCTCCTGCTAAACCAGTATATTTTGACCATGCATTAGTAATTGGTGACAAAACATCACTTCCAAATGTCCAAGAACAAATAAAACCAATTAAGAAATAAAATGCTGCACTCAAAAACATGGCACCCGCTGTAGTGTAAAACAAATATTTCTTCTTATTTACTGGAGTAATAGCGTCTGGTAAGTTTTGATGACAAGTTAAAGCAAATGCAGTATGAGTGAATGCAGTACCAAATCCAACCCATTTAAAAGTATACAAAAATGATATATCAGAATCTATTGGTCCACTTACAATCAATTGTACAATACAAGTTATTAACATTACACTAAAAGCAAAAAATCTATAAAAAGTTAATGCCATTTGTAATTTTCCTTGTTTACTCAAATCAATGAAACTTAGTGATATAACTATAATAGAATATATTGCCAATGATATATAATATGCAAGTTGGCATTCCCAATTTCCTTTTCTTTCGATACAACGCTCAGTATCTCCATAAATCATCCAAAATAAGGTTGTTAAAGTACTAACTGATGTTGCAGCATATGCCCATAATGACCCATAAAGGTATAGTACTAAACAAGCAAAATTAAACCAACGTAAAAATTGTCCACCCCACATTTCTCCTAGTGTAGTATAATCAAATAAACGAAACTTTAATTCATTCACTGGGACTGTATTAAACTCATTCTCTCCTCCATTTTCTTTAATTTCTTTTCTTCCTTCTGAACGAGCCATAGAGTCTATTAAATAATTCATAGTTGTCACATTAATAATAAAGAAACCAATTAAAATAATAGCTGACAATGGTAATCCACCAGTAAAATAAGCAAAAGGAATACCAAATACACCTGTTCCAATAATATAATTAATAACAGTAGCAAATCCTGCAGCCTGAGAATATGAATGAGTTTCTTTCTTTTCTTTTTCATTTAATAACAATTCTTGTTCCTTTTTTAGTGGTTTAGAGTCATAGTTAGAGACAGAAGTATCATCACAAATAATGTTCTTCTCTTCTTCTTCACTCATACCTCTCAATGCATGTTATTAAGATCTATTCTTCTACTTACATCTAATTCTTCTTAAGAATTTATCCATTTATTTTAAAATTCTAAGATATTCTTTTGAACCTTCGGCATATGATCTTAAATTTATTACTTTTCTCTTTTCATAATATAATAAACAAAATAATAATACTTAGTAAATTAATAATATAAACTAACAGGTATCATTTTTTGGTAGTCTTTTTTGTTGATTTACGAGTATTTCGAGTTTTTGGTTTTTTTAAGTCTAAGTCTTCATCTTCAATATATATCTCTCCATCATCAGTTGAAGCATCTAAATCACCAAAACTAGAAAGAAAAGATTGATCTTGTTCTTCAACTATTTCATCTAAAGCTTCATCACGAAAATCAATTTGTTCATCACAATTTGGTCTAGAAGGACAGACAATAAAATTAAAGATTTCTTCTAATTTATCAATTCTTTTATTACTTTGATGTAAACAAAAGATTCTAATTAATTCATCAATAACTTCATCACTTTTCTTTTCTAGTGCACTTTGTACTCTTTTTGAATTTTTATTAAATTCTGATTTAATAGTTTGTTCTAATCCACAAAATGCTAATACATTCATTAGTCTTTCAGTAGCAACACCCATAGTTCCATAAAATAAACGATGGATTTGAACTAATTTGTCTGTACTTAATTCATTAATATTTGTAGAAATCTTTTTACTTGTTCCTAGAATGATTCCTTCTCCATCTAAACGTAATGTTTTTGATTTTTGAGGAATATCATTTTGATATCTATCAATTAAATGATGTTCTCGAGTAGTTCTATGCATGTTTATTAATGAATTAATTTGTGTTATCTAAATTAAACCCTTATTCTTTTTTAATTCTTTTTTTCATTCAAATAAACTATCATTTTGTGTAGTTTTCAAACTGTTTTTTTATGCTTTTTAAGTTTTTACCTCTTTTTGTTTATTTATTTAAATCGTGGTTTGAATGTTTTTTAAAAATTGAAATTTTGTATATTCCTATGTAAACCATGATTTATGTTATTATTGGATGTTTTATGATATACTATAAAAATGACTTATATAATAAAATTATTATCATTATTTTTCATTTTCTTATATACAATACATAAAAGAACTGTTTAAATTAATTAAAATAAATTATGAATAAGAAAATAATTGGACATTATGAAATAATGATAGTCTCTATGTATTTTAATGATATTAATGATTTTATTAATTTAGAATTGGCTGTAAAAAGGTTTAAAGGAAATATGGAAAGATTTCATTTTAATCCAATTTCATTAACAACAAAAACCCTGAAATATTTCCCTTCATTAGAAACTTTACATTTATATAATAGAAATGATAAAGAATTACATAATAAACAAATAATTAAATATATAATATGGTATAAAGTATCATATACATATTATATGAAACATAAATCTAATACTTTAAAGGAATTTAAAAATATAACATTTAACGAAGATGACGTCACTAATTTTGGATATGAAATTCCAAAACAAATAAAAATTGTTAAGAAAAATTGTTTTATAAATAATCATTCATTCAAAGAAATAACTATTCCACCATCTGTTCTTTCTATTCACCGTTCTTGTTTATGGGTTTGTAAACAATTACGATCATTAAAAATATCACAACAAGATTACGTCATATTCTCTAATCATCTTTTCTTTAATTTTTATAATCTTTGTTCATTGGAATTACCTAATTCTATAGTAAAAATAAATAATAAAAAAATTCCATCAATACAAAATAATCAAATATTTAATATTCCAACAACTGTTACTTCATTAAATGACTATTGTTTTTCTGAATGTTCATCATTATTATCAATTCAAATTCCTTCTTCAGTTATACTTATTGGAAATTGTGCATTTAAAAAATGTTATTTTCTTCAAGTAATTCAACTCCCAATTGACATACTTACATTACCAAAATCTTGTTTTGCATTATGTACTTCTCTTCAAACAATTATACTCCCAAATTCTTTAAAATGTTTAAGAAATAAATGTTTTGTTAATTGTTATTCTCTCCATTCAATTACTATTCCAAACTCAGTTAGTCAAATTGGGTCACATTGTTTTGAAGGTTGTAGGTCATTATCATCAGTAATACTATCAACTTCTTTATCTTCAATTAGTTCTAATTGCTTTAATTTTTGTTCATCTCTTCGTTCTATAACATTACACTCCTCAATACTTTCAATAGAAACATATTCTTTTAAAAATTGTTATTCTCTAACAACAGTTCAAATTAATTCACCATTATGTTCAATAGATCCAACATCATTTGAAGGATGTATTAATTTACATGAAATTTAATATTATTTAATGAAACAATAATTAATTATTTATTCTAATTATTAAATAATACCTTATAATAAAAATAAATCGTATTTAATTGAAAAATGCAATAACTTAATTCTAAAACATTTTCTTAGCAACATCCAGATTGTTTTTCAGGACTAACAATTGTAATATTATTCTTCTTTGGAATATTTGCCATAATCTCTTTATTATTATAAATCCCTTTTGCTAACGTTTCAAATATTTCATTTACACCTTCTCCGGTTTTTGCAGAACATCTCATATGTTGATATCCTTGTTCTTTAGCAGCAGCATCTGCTTGTTCATTTGTAACTTTTGAAGGTAAATCAATTTTATTTCCAACAATAATAATGAATGCAATTTCTTGTTCAATTTGATATTCTTGAATCCAATGAGTAATCTACAATAATATTAATTTCTTCTTTAATAATATACTAAAAGAAACAAACTTTATTAAATGATTCAACATCAGAAACGTCATACACAACAAGACATCCTTGTGTTCCTTTATAATATGATGATGTTACATTTCGAAATCTTTCTTGACCAGCTAATAAAATAATATTATTATTTTATTCCTTTTTTTTTCTTAATCTAAAATAACAAACCAGTATCCCATAGTTGTAATTTAATTGTTAAATCTCCTACTTTAACTAATTTGGAATTAAAATCAACACCAATGGTTGATATCAATTCATCATGAAATTTATCTTCACAATACCTTTCCATAATAGCAGTCTTACCAACTGAAGGCTCTCCAATAATTAAAACCTTAAATGTGTAATCAGCTGCGTTTGACATTTATTTTATTTTTATAGATTCTTTATTTTCATTTTACTTTTTTCTCTTCTCCTTTTTTAAACATCAACGAAATTTCTTTGTTTTGTATTTTCTTTTCAATATTTTTTTTTGATTTTTATCACATTTTTAATTTATCAAAAATATATTTTATGATATATATCTCAAAAAAAAAAAATATTTATATAATACAGAAAAATTAAAAAGGAAATAAAAAATATGAGGTAAGAAAAAACCCTTAGATCTCATTTTAAAAATCACGGGTTCACTAAAAATTTTCAAGTGATATTCGGAATGAGCAGCAGACCATTTGTCACTATTTATGATGGTATCACTGGAGAAGCTGAAAAAACACAAGTTAGACTTCCAGCTGTTTTTCTTGCACCAATTAGAGGAGATGTAGTTCATTTCGTTTATAGAAATCAAAGTAAAAATACTAGACAACCAGAAGGAGTATCAACTAAAGCTGGTAAACAACATTCAGCTATTTCATGGGGAACTGGAAGAGCTGTAGCTAGAATTCCAAGAATTAGTGGATCAGGATCAGGAAGAAATGGACAAGGAGCTTTTGGTAATATGACTAGAAAGGGTCATATGTTCTCTCCACTTAAGAATTTCAGAAAATGGCAAAGAAAAACACCAAAACAAATGAGAAGATTTGCTGTTGCTTCATGTATTGCTGCTTCAGCTGTTCCAGCTCTTGTTTCAGCACGTGGACATCATATTGCAGGAGTACCACAAATTCCATTAGTTGTTAATTCAAAATCAATTTCAGTTATTAAGAAGACCAAACAAGCTGTTTATCTCTTAAAGAAAATTAATGCTTATTCAGATGTTCTTAAAGTTATTGCTTCAAAGACTGTTCGTGCTGGTCAAGGAAAAATGAGAGGAAGAAAGATTAAGGAAAGAAAAGGACCATTAGTTGTTTATGGTAATGATGATCTTCAAGCTGTTAAAGCATTCAGAAATATTCCAGGTGTAGATACATGCCGTGTTGAAAATCTTTCAGTTCTTAATCTTGCACCAGGATGCCATATAGGTAGATTCATTATTTGGACTGAATCAGCATTCAAGAAACTTAACACCATCTTTGGAACTCAAAAGAAGATGGCACAAGGTAAATCAGGATTCAGAATTGCTCATGCTCAAATGGCTGTTCCAGATATGAAGAGAGTTGTTGTTGCTGCTGAAAAAGCTAAACTTCTTAGAGCTAAAATTGTCTTACCAAAAGTACCAAAGAGAGCTAATCCACTTAAGAATTGGGCTGCTATGGTTAAATTAAATCCATATGCTAAGATTGCATCACATAAACTTGCTCAAGTTGCTAAAGCACAAGCAGCACATAAAGCACAATATGCAGCTAAAATGGAAAAGATTCTTGCAGCAAAGAAAGAAGCATTAAATCAATCAGTTGCTAAGAGATTTGGTAAAACTCAAAAAGTTGATGGAAAGGTTGTTAAAGTTAAAGTTGAAAATAATCTTCTTAAAGCCACAGTTAAGAGAACTGCTAAACAAGATGCTTATATGAAGAAGTATGATGGAATCGTTAAGGCAAATGCCAAGAAATATGCTGAAAAAATTGGATTCTAAGAGAAGATAATAATGAAGTTGTTTTGGTTTCTTTGTTTGATTTAATTTTTTTATGTAATAATAAAAATAGATAAAAGTAATTATTTTTTATAGAAAAGAAATTTTGTATAAATAAAAAAATTTATATGAAAAATATTAAATTTTAAATATATCAAAAGAAATAATAATTTAAATGATTGGAAATTGAATTATGATAAACTTCTTTTAATACCGTTTTTGATTTGTTCCAAATTATAAAAAAGAAGAAGAATAAATGATAAAAAATATAAGAGTTAATACAATCATTAGAACCAATATACCCTATTTGATTAAATAATAGTACGTATCTGAACAACAACAACTGAAATATTATCTTTACTATCTTTTTCTAAAGCATTATTTCTTACACACTGAGCTTTAATATCACTTGTAAATTCTTCTAATAATATTTCTCTAAGAAAATCCTCACTAACAACTGAAATACCATCACTAGCAACAAGTATTGATTTAATAGTAGATAATGATATAATATCTATTGATGGCAAACAAGACAATGGAGGATGAAATTGTTTATCTCCAATTGAACGAGTGATAGTAATCTTACCATTAACACGTAATACACCAGATACATTTACAATATTTCCACCATTTTGTTTAATCATTTCAACTTCATCTTTATCATAAAGATTATGATCTTTACCTACTTTCATTATTTCATCATCTGTAGTTAATACATAAATTGGTGAATCACCACATCTACAAATTATAACATCATTTTCTCTTATAAGAAGAATCGATGCAGTTGTCCCTGATTCAGTAGACATAGAAACTAAAGTATGCATTTGTTCAAATACTTTTGATAAATGGTCTTTGACATGATCTGAATGTACTGTATATCCATCAATTAATGAATAAAATGTGTGCATTGATTTTATTGCAGCCCCTTGTCCATTGTGCCCATCAAATACACCTATAAAATCAATATCATCGTATAACTCACCTTTGACCATAAGAGTATCTTCCATATAAACCCTTTTTCCTATTGTTTGAGCCGTACCAATATCAAATCGTTTTGAACATGAATATTGTTGTTTCTAATTAATGAGTATTAGAACAAATATCTTAACTGTAAAACAAACAAATAATAAAACATCCTCTTCTGATTGATCAAGTACATTTCCATTTTCTGTTTTTAAAGGAGAACCACCCCTTTTTAGTAAATATGAATTTGATAATTTTGGTAATGAAACTCCTGATGACTTAATTATTTTACCATTAACAAAAACAGGTCGTTCTTGACCATAAAAAGCACATTTAGTTAATGAATCTGTCGACCTTATTCTTTTATGTAATTTAGCTTTTTGTTGTTCTTGAATAGGAGAGGCATTAGAAGAAGTAGAATATCGTATGAGTAATGACATGAACTAGTCACTGAATTTTAGTTATTTTTTCTTCTTTTGTTTTGTTTTTTTTAGAAAGTAAAAAAAAAATAATTGTTTTTTTTTTGATTTTTTCATTGTTTTAGAACGTAATATCATTCAATTATTATTTTTTTCCTTCTTTCTTTTTATTATAATAAATGTTTATCTCCTGTAACTACATCTATTAATACTGTAGGTCCTGGACCTACACCTAACACTGTTATTGTTCCTGGATTTATTTCAGTTCTTCCTGCATCAACTACTTCATAATATAATATACCTAACTCTTCATAAGTTTGCTTCATTACTTCAAACTCTTTAACATCTTCTATTTTAACAACTACTTTCTTTGCTCCTTGATTTTCCCATTCAATAATACATTCTGGTGAAATTTCCATTGCTTTTTGAAAACACCCAATAGCTGCATGAGCACATTGAGAACATTTTTTACCAATAGACATTGGTATATCATTACGAACACATAATACCATTTTATATTCCATAGAATTTAAAGAAAAATAATACTTTTGTTTGGATCTTTTTATTTCTTATTGATTCAAACAAAAAAATAAACAAAAATATTGAAATAAAACCATTTCATTTTATTTTGAAACTGTTAGTGTTTCTCTAGTTGGTTCATTTTTATTCACTTTTGTTTGTACACTAGCTAAACCAATAATAGAGAGACTAACAATTATTAAAACAAAAAATGAAAAACCAGCAATATCAACTAGTAATGCAAGTAAAAGATAAATTGCAACAGCAATACCATAGACATAAACTGGCTCAATTTTAGCTTTTTCTAAGATAGATTGATCAACATCTTCAATTATAAGATAAGAAACTAATGTACCTACAAAAAAGAATAAACATGCAAAATTTTCTAGTTCAAATAATGACATAACACTTGCAAAAATAATTCCAATAACAGTATAACTTAAATAATGTGAAAAAATGTTTTTAGTAATTCGTTCTATTAACACATTAGCATCTTTTGGAATCTCATATTTTAAATTAAGTATTTCAATAATATCTTGTTGGATTTCTCCAGCAAGATTTCCAAAGAATTTTGTTGCATCAAACTTCATTAAATATACCTTTTAATTCTAAGTTCTTTATCAATAAATATTTTCCCTCAAAAACTGTTTTAATTCTTCAGTTTAATTAAATTTAGATATCATTTTTGTTTATGTTTTAAGTTCTAACTTATAAGTTCTTTTTGACCTTCTAATTTAACAAGAAATTTTTGTTATTTATTCATTCTTATTTCAGCTTGACTCCATTTAGTTAATGCTTCATCATAAGAGGTTGCTTTTTGTTTTTCTGAATATTCATTTGAAATAATCTCTGACAACTCTAAAAGTAACTCTTTTTGTTCATCATTCCATAACTGCGGATTTTCTTCACATACTTTAACAAATGGTTTAGTTGATATTTTTCCCCAAATTCTTTTTATTGGTTTATTTTTTAATTCGTTGATGAGAATTTTAAAAGTTAAAGTAAGCATTGAAACAACTTCTTGACTGAGTATTGTTGTTTTATCAAACTCTCCAGTTTCATTTGTTAGATATGCCTTTTTAAGAGAAGCAGAAATTAATTTAATATTTTCAATAGCAGAAGTAACACCTTTTCCAAATTCAAAGGCATCTTGAGAAAGGATTTGTTTGAACTTTAAGATTTGACTACACTTTGTAACAATTTGTGATTGAAGAAATGAGATGTGATAAGATTGCATTGCTTCAATTAAGGAGATTTTGTCATTAATCACATCACAAATATTTTCGTTTGGTTCATTTGTTATCAATTTTTCAACAATTTCTAGATATTGTTGTTGTGTTTCATCAGTTATCAGTTTCTTCTTATCATGTAAATTATCTTTAAAAAGAATGTATTAAAAAGAAAACAAAAAAAAAAACAAACAGTTAAACATTCTTTGAGTTTTCTTACAATACGATGCCAATATCCTTTTCTTTCAATAGAGTTTGAAAGCACATCTAAAATTTTAGATACGTCTTTGGCTTCAATATGTTTTTCATCATTGGCGTCAGTTGTTCGTCTTTTCATTATAAAGGAATTTAACAAAGGAAAAGAAAAGAGAAAAACCAAAAAGAAAGAGAAAGAAAAATTAATAGTATAATTTATAATAAAATATTAATATGAACTAATTTTGTTTATTTGAAGAGCCAAAAATACAAGTTTTGAAGAAAGAAAAGAAGACAAATCTGGAATCGAAGTAATGTTCTCGGATTTTCTTTCAACACCACTTGATAGTAGCTCACCTAGAATGGCTTATAGTGCATCTCCAAGATCAAGAAAACCAGCTATATACAGAGGAACACCACCAACATTTACTTCAACATTAAGGTGTGTTCAATCAGGTACAGAAATTGGATTACCAGAAGAAACATGGGAAGTAAATATTGAACCAGACGGTACTATTAAGAAAGAAGGTAAAACACTAAATTCTGTTTGTTAGTTATCTTGAATGACTTCGAAGTAATGAATTAAATGAAATATGAGTTTGTTATTTTTAATAAATAAATTACTTATTTAGTAGGAGTTAATTGAGCCATTACCTCGGTTTGCAATTGGGATTGCTCAAACACGTGGTGTAAGAGAAAATATGGAAGATGTTATATCTACTTGTCATTTAGAACGAAATAAAGATTTGGTTGGAGTGTTTGATGGACATAATGGAGATTCAGCTGCTCGGATAGCAGCTACATTATTAAAACAAGATACTAAAAATTATACATTACTTGATGATATTCATTTTATTGATTTATTTAATCATTTACAAAAGAAGATTGTTTCACAAACACAAAGTGGAACTACTGCAACAGTACTTTATCTAGGCTGTGAAATAGTTAAAATAGCATATGTAGGTGATTGTTCAGTGTATTTAATTGATAATAATGGAATAAATAAAATTACTGTACCACATCGTTGTGGAAATATTCTAGAAGAAAAAAGGATATTAACAAGTGGTGGAACGATAGAAGATATTGATGGAATAAGACGTGTGAATGGAATAATTAATATTACTAGAAGTTTAGGTGATAAAGAACTTCATCCTCCATTATCCTTTGAACCAGAGATATATTCAGTTAATGTAAAAAAAGGATTGAGTCATATTGTAATAATAAGTGATGGTGCTGATACAGTAAAGTTTGTGTTGCAATAATATTATTTATTTTAATGAAATAATTAATTTGTTATAGTGAAAAAGAACTAGAAAAGATGATTAGAAGATCTCCAACAGTTTCTATTGCAGCAGCAGCAATTAGAAATGAAGCATTTAAACAAAAAAGCAAAGATAATATTTCTGTTGTTGTAGTTGATATGAAATTTAGTTCATATGAAAGAAAAACAACATCACCTTTAGTTGATGATTTATGTATTGCAGGTGGTGATGAAGACAATCCATTTGATTTTTAAAGTGTATCAACATTAATTTATCTCTTTTAGATATTAAAAAGAGTATCAAACTTGTTAATCTTTTATTCAAAAAAAAGAATGAAAGAATACTAATAGTTTAATTGCATTAATTGTTTTTTAAGTTCAAATTTATTTTCAGCAATACCTCGAATTATTAATAAACTCTTATCTATTGGAACTGTTTCATTTCCAACTACTTCTCCTAAGGTTTCTAATAAATCATTCATTGCTTTTATTTTACTTTGAATTGTGAATTTTTCCATTTGTTCTTTATTTATTTGTTTTTTAAAATCATCGATAAGAGATACATCTTTAGGTAGTGGATTATTTGAAATCCATTGTTGCAATGATTCTATTTCTTCTTTTGTTTGATTGATTGAATAAATAATAGAATCTTTCATTTGTTGAATTTGGTCTTTTTTCATTAAATTATTTTGAACACCTTCTTTGTTGATATAGTATTGATTATAAGGTGAAACAAAATTATAATTTTCATTTAAAGTGGTCTGCTCTTGTTCAGATTGTTTATATTTAGTAAAAGTATTATTTTGTTGTTGTAATTCTGATGGATTTGTTAATGTCTTTTCTTTGCTATGGTCATAGTCTTGTACGTAATAATCTGTTATATTAGTATTAGAAATTTTGGTACTTGATCTAATCTCATTTTGGTATTGTTGAGGTGTTATAAATGTAGAAGATTGTGGAGATAACAAAGGGTTTGATAGAGAGGGGTATTGGTTTGGAGTATATTGTGGGTGAGAATATGGTAAATAAGGATTATGTATATTTTGGTATGAAGGATATTGGTTTTGATAAGGGTAATATTGGGTAGTGGAAGACATCTGTTGTTGATAAGTTGGGTTATTTGTTGAGTATAATAAGTTTGATTGTTGAGTAAGATATTGTTGATAAGATGTGGTTGGGTTTGGAGTGAATGAATTTGATTTAGAATAAAGAAAAGGGGATAATTGAGCATTTTTACGAACAGGAGGTATTGAACCAAAAAATGCTAATAGTCTTTCAAGTAATAACAATAAATCTGTTGAACTGTTCCATTGTTGTTGTATATTTTGGATAAAACCATCTTCTTTTACTAAAGGATGATTTTTTACAATTTCCATTCCTTGAGAGATAAAACAAGATAATTCAGGAGGAGATAATGGATAATTATAAGTAAATGCTATTAACATTGGAACTCCAAACACTTTTCTTTCATAAACAATTGGAAGGAAACCTTCTAAAGAAATGTATTGATGTGAAGAATATTTAGATAAAGTAATACCAATTTTTAATTTAGGATATTTAATTTGAAGACGTTTAATATCTTTTGTGACACTGTCACAGTCATTATAAAATTCTCTTACAGAGGAAAGGAAGAAATTAATTTCTTGCATAGATTAATTAACAAAATTTAATACTCAGTTCTTTGATAATTTCTTTTTTGATTTATATTTTAAAAAATATATTTAAATAATACTTAAATATTGATATTTCAATTAGAAATAATATTCTTCTGTTATTAGAACCAACTTAGTCCAATTACATCAGCAACAAATTGAACTAATGCAAATGAAAAACATATAATAGCAATTATCAAAATTGGCCATGCCCAATATGATGATGAATATTTACCACTAAATGAAGTGACATATGTTTTACTTCCCCATTTTCTTCTTATAATAAATTTACTATATATTTGTAATACTCCTGGGATAATGAATAATAAAAAGAATCCAAAAATTCCTGCAAAATTGAAAATAACTTCTAAATCTCCTTTAATTGCACCAGCAATTAGAGGAGGAACAGCTGCAACTAAACGACTAGAATATAACCATATTTTAGGACTTTTTTCTTTCCATTGTTTTGGAATCATTTGAAGTAAATTAGAAGATAATGTTACACAAACTAATGGATATTCTGATGTTAAGTTAATTGCTGGGAATAATAATATTACCCATTGAACAACTACTCCATACCATTTTGCAGAACTACCATCATCACATACTCCAAATCCACCATTACATCCAGTAAAACCTAACCAATTATGAGTTACAGGTGTTCTTGTTGCATCTCCAAAACAAAATGAACAAGCAAATCCAATAATTACATATAAAATGGTTGCAGTAGTAATTCCTAATACAACAATTCTTCTAAGATGATTTTTTGGTTTTGTTGGAGTCACAACATCTGGTAAATTTTGATGACATGCTAATGCCACACTACAAGAACTAAACAAAGTTCCAAATCCTCCAATATCTATGAAGAACGTTAATGTTGATTTTGATGGTGGAATAACTTCATAAGTACCTTTTACTGAATTATAAATGATATGAATTATACACGTTAAAGCCATTACTCCAAAACAGAAAAATCTCCAACATGTTAATATGTTTTGTAAAATTGCTTGTTCAGCTACTCCCATTAATGACAACGGAATAACAATTAATGCAAACAATACTATTCCAGATAAGTAAGTCAAATGACATGGTCCAAAAAGATCCCAATCTCCCATTACAATTGAACATTCACCAAACTTACTTAATGGATATTTCCATAATATCATTGTTACTGAAGAACTGAATACACTGGAATATGCCCATAAAGCACCATAACAAAAAAATGATAAAATAATAATTGAGGTCATTTTACCTCCTTTACCAAAAAATATTGCAGACATTCTAGTATAATTATAAACTTCATATTCTATTTCATTTTGAGGTCGTTGGGCATTTCTACTTCTTCTATAGGTTTCCATAACCCCACTTGAACGAGCCATATTTTCAAGAACCCATATAGCTGTAACAATACTCATTAAATAAAAAAATAATGTTGTTATTAAAGATAATCCAAGTCCAGCATTTTCAAAGGCATAAGGTAATCCAAATACTCCAGTACCTACAATATAATTAATTAAAATTCCAAATGTTTGTAAAGGTGATATAGTATGTACATTAACTGATTTAGACACTATCTCTTGTTCTTCTTCTATTTCTTTTAAATTTTCTTCGATATCACTTGAGTCAGAATTGAGAGGAGGCAATGTTTCTGAATTATCAACTTTCTCATTTTCATCAACTAACACTGCAGTTTCTTGATGATCAGTAGAAGGCTCGTTCGGAAAAGAGCTTGACATCTGTTAGTTTATTTCAAGTTCGATCCCGAAAAGTATTTCGAAGCTACTAATTGTGTACGATTTTAGTTTTATCTTCTAGAATGTCTTTACTTATTTAAGGAGACTATTCTTTGAATTGTCACGACTTTTTTTCTTAATTATGCAAATAAAAAAAATTATTTAATTTTGATTAATTTAAAAAACCGAAAATTAAAAAGTGAATAGAAAAACAGGAATTTAGAAAAATGAAAAGCAAGAAACCAATTACCACTCCAAAACATCTCTCAGACAACCCCCTAAACAAAAAACCATTTGAAACAATACCCTACCGTTTTTCTGAAAGTGGAAATATTAGAGAACCCTTATATAGTATGAGTAAAGATTTTCATGGTTATTCTATGTCTTTTCCTGGTAGGAAAAATTCAGGAGGTTTAAGTGATGATGATTATGATGAGAGTGATTCTGATTGTCATAATGAAACAGACGAAGAACATCCAGATTTATCAAGTGATGATGAAAGGACAACTGAAGATAATGATGAAACTGAAGTGATTATTACTGAAGAAAATTATGAAGAAATTGTAGATAGACTTAAACAAATGGTTTTAAATCAAATAATTTCACAACATCAAAATGAACAAACTAAATTACGTAAAAGATTTATAGAGTGTTGTTCTATTATTAACAAAGAAAAAGATGATATTATCCATGATATGGAATTGTTTGGATTAGGTAGTCTTGATAAAGACAAAATTAATGATACTCTTAGTTGTCTCGAAAATACAATCAATGATTTACAGAGAAATTTTGAAGATAAAAAATATATTAGCACCATTAATTAAATAAATGTTTATTAATTCTGATTTTTGAAATTTTTACTGTTTAATGTTTTCAAATTAACAAAATTTTTTTGATTCTTTATTAATTTATACTTACTTTTGTTATTTAAAAGATCAAAACGTCATAAAAGAGACATTAAAACGAAAATAAGAATATTCGACTCAATTAGTTTATTGGTATTATATGGGAGATTGTTATTGAAAGGGTTGTGAATACTGGGGTTGACCAAAATTACTACAAAGCCGTTGGTTATCAGCTTGTGGATAGCAAGGACAAACTAAATTAGGCTGTTGGAATTGTGGTACTTGAAAAGGAGGAGTTGGGGAGTGTGGAAATAAATTTTCAATTTCTTGTTTGGTTTGACTTTCTAATTTTCTGTCTAAGTTAATACTTTGAGAAGAAGCATGGTGAGATGATTGGTGAAGTGTTTGTTCAACTTCATTCTGAATAGGGGCTGATGAAACTTGATGTGTTGGTGTATGTTGTTGATTTTTTTGGGTTAAACAAGAACAAGTTTTACCATAACAATATTGATGATTATAAGATAATGGTTGTTCAATTGAATTAAATTGATTGAAGAAATAAGGAGAATCACCATTTATATTATAAGGTTGAGGATAGTAACAATAAGGATAATAATAATAAGGATATTGATACATCATACGTTGATATAAAATTTGTTTTTGTATAAAATGTTTCATATCTTTTTGTTGTTGTTTAATATAATATTTTATTTTTTCTTCATTAACTTTGAAATTTTTTTTAGACATTTCAAACTGATTAAAAGTTTCATCTTTTTGTAGTTGTTGTATAATTTTATTAACTTTTTTTTCAACTTTATAATCAATATAAGCATCAATAATCTTTTTTTGGTGTGAATCTAAACTCTTCTTTAATTTTTTCCATTCATTTTTTAATTTATTATTTGGATTTTTCTTTTTTTCTGCTTTTTCTTCTTTTGTGTTGATTTTGTCTTGAATTGATGCCGCATTAATAATTGAATTTTCTGTAAATAATAAATCATCTCCTTCTTTTTTTTCAGTTTCTTCATTATATTCTTCATTTTCAAATGTATACTCTTTACTTATTTCTTCTTCTTTTGTTTCATCTTCAAAACTAACATTCTTTTCTTGTGTTTGTTTAATACCTTTTTGTACATTTTCTAATGAATTTGTAATCTTTGGAAGTTCTTTAGTCTCATTTCCTGTATTTTGAATTGGTTTTGTTTCTTTACCTTTGACTTCCATTTTTTCCTGATTTTTATTGGTTTTTAAGTTTTTTAATTCGGTTTCAGTTTTTCATTAAAAAAGTTGTAAAATAGTCGTTTTATTAATTTTATTTATTATAAAAAAAATTTCTCATTCTTTTTTAAATTTTCATGAATTTATATCTATTCTTTTTATTTTTCTTTTGACTCCCAAATAACTCTTTTTTGAAGGTAAGTATATCTTTAAAATAAAAACTAAATGTTATCAAATAGTTTTTAAACTTCCTAAAGAAAAGACTAAAATTATGATATAATAATATAAATAACAATAAATTTATAAACAAGTATTATAACCATAAAAAATAGATTAAAACAGAATGACGTTTATGGCAGTTTTATTCTTTTTAATTTATCTTTTATTATTATTATAAATTGTATAATTGAATATTTCATTTATATTTATATTTTATTATATAAAAAATCAATTAATTAAATATTAAAAGAACATAGCTTCTGTTATTCCTAGTTTAGTGGAAACTAATCACATTAATGATTTTAGTAATTCTATGAATTATATTTGGCTGTGATTGAAGCATTATTCATTGACATCCATCATGTTTTTATTACATGATTTTTAATTTAGTTAATGATGTCAATCTCAATCTTTAATTCCTTGTACTTATTTCTTTTCTTCCAATACACTCCATTAATATTATGATATTCAACAATAATCATATTAAATAATAGACCAGTTTTATTCTTTTTATTTAATACATATATCTGGTATTTTGTGATATTGTCCATGAAAGTACAATAAAAGAAATAAAACAAAGAAGAAAAACTAAATAATAAATAAATATCTATTTCTAATAGACATATATCAGTATCTAATTTTTATTTTTATTGATATATCCTTTTCCAATGCAGGAAATACATCAAATTTTAATGCCATGGCTATTGTGTAAAACCTTTGAGTCTTGTAAAGAAAAGCAAATAAGACATAAAAATCCAAGGTTATACAATAAAAAAAGAAATATCAATAGCAATAAATTTCATCACAATAATAATGGTAAAAGAAATATCAAGGAAAATGGTTTAGAAGAAGAAAAACACAAAGAAAAACAAATAAGAAACAAGATAAATACAATAATAATAAAGATTATACAAATAACAAATACAAATGGCTAACAATAAATGATATACAAGAAAGAATAAAAAGAATAACAAGTGAATGGAATGAAGGAGAATACAAAGAAATACTTAAAAAATATGAATGTAAAAAGAAAAGATGGTATGATATTCAACAAGAAGTATATTCAATCAAAAAGAAAAAGATAATTGAAAAAAATCAAAGAAGAAAATAAAGAAAAAAGAAATCAATTATGATTAACCTTATTTTTTAGGTTTTTCATCATGTTGAGAAGTGAGCGAATCAGTTTCTTCAACATGCTTAATTGAAAAAAATCAAAGAAGAAAATAAAGAAAAAACAAAAGACAATGAAGAAAAAGACATTAAAACAAATGACGAAGAAATTAAAAACAAAAACACATTAAAGAAATGAATGATAGATGTAATGCTGCAAGAATAATAAATAACAAAGAATACAAAATAAAATAAACAGACAAGAAATACAATATAAAGAAATTGAATTTTAATTGAAGTGTTGTATTGTTTTGCAATTAATTGGTTGAATAAGAAATTATATAAGAAAGGAATAAAGGAATAAATAGAAAGTATAGTAAAAGCAATAAACATCAATGTAAATAATGAAAAAGAATATATTAAATATATTAAAATGTCACATAAAATAAAAGAAAATACTAAAAGGTACATTAAAATGAAAATAAATGATATAATAGAAAGAAGAGTAGAGTGTGATTCAATAATAAAAAACATCATATTAAAGAATAACTCTACAGAAATTGATGAAGAATACCTTAACACTCTCATCAATAAAGTAAAAGAAATGAAAATAGAAAAATGTACAAACATTAATTATTACTGGAAAAGAAAAGAAGCTAACGAATTAATAATTGAAATTAATAATAGATGGGTATTGTCAGGAAGCAGAATGCAGGATCTGCAAGATGATATGAAGAATATTTCAATGATTATGCACCTCTACCTCCAAAATAAAATAATAGGAGATAAATTTGATGAAATAAAAGAAATCCTAAAGAAAATAAATAGACTAGAAGATATAATCAATGAAATTGTACAGAATAAAGTGCATCATGAAATTAAAAGAACATGATGAATAAGGAATTAAAGTCAAAACACTAGAAAGAATAAAATACCTAAAATATATGATGACAATGATCAAAGAAAGAATTAAATTTAATAAAAATGAAATAATCAGAATCAATACAAATAAAATCATGTTTGATTCTAACAAGAAAATTAAAATAAAGAAGAAACAAAAAATGAAATATACCCAAATAACGATATTACTTTAGAATATTTGAAATCGTTATATGAAACACAGGTGATATTAAATAAAGATAATTGGAAAATAAAACAAATCACCTCGTGGAATGAATGATACAAATACTGTTATTAAAATTTAATAAAAAACCAAAAAAATTAATAAAAAGTGGAATAAAATTAATTTAAACGTTGCAATCCAAATTGAGTATTCATAATTGCAGTTAACTTAGAATTAAATTTACCAACTTCTTTTGGCTTAACAATAGTAGCAAATTTCTTACTTCCATTTGTTGCACGAACAAGACAACCATCACAACCAAGTCCTGGAATTTCTTTTTTCAAATGTGCTAGGCAATTAATTCGTTTCTTTTAAAAATTCATCACCGTTTATTTGATGATTTCTATAAAAGAAAAATGTCAAACCTTGTTTAAATGTTACCCAAACACTTCCACACTTTTTCGTTTTTGATAATTTATAAAGCTTTAGAAGTTCTTCAAGAAATACTTCGTTATCAACAAATCCCATAAATCACAATTATTAATATTTTATATCAGTTCTTTTTGTTTTTAATTTTTATGACTTAATTAATTGCTTATTATTATTATTATAGTTATTTTAAATGAAGTTTGATGAACATCTTATTCGATAAATTTCGTTTACTAACTATATCAGGAAAGAAATATAATCACCTTCTCCTTTAGCATAGGCTTTGTTATACTTTCAATAATGAAGAAATTTAACAAAAGAAAGAATAAACAAAATAAAATATATAAAAATATAGTACAGCCATTCAAACTTAACTCTCTACCTTATGAGGTTATATTTCACAAATAAACAAGTGATACTTCTTGTTTCTATTATTATTTATCCTTATTTTTATTCTTTCTATTATTCTATTATTCTTTTGCTCTTTTTCTTATTTATTAGTCTTTCTATTTAGTCACGTACTTATACTTTATTCACCTGTTATATAAAATACGGTGATGATGCATCATATGCAAATAGAAAAGAAATGCTAAAGAAGAGAGAAGAGCAGATGATAATAGATAAGATACAAACGAAACAAAAAAGAAAAAAAGATATAAAACAAAAACTGAAAAAAGAAAAACTTCAAAAGGAATAAAGAAAAAACAAAAGAAATGGAGATAGAAGGAGAAAGAAAAAGTGTATTAAAAGCATATTTACAGAAATTGAAAACATACCAAGCAAAAGAAGAGGCGTTAGAAAAAATAAAAGAGACGTTAAAAGTTAGTAAAGAGAATATGGGAAGGAATGAGGAGATGTTATTATCATTACAAACGATTGGGATGTCCATTGGAGAAGTACTCAAATGTTTAAGTGAAGAGAAGTATATTGTCAAAGTGTCATTAGGACCACATTATGTAGTTGGATGCCGAAGTTGTATTGACAAGAAAAAGATAACACAAGGAACAAGAGTTGCACTTGATGTGTCTACTAATACTATAATGAAAATCTTACCAAGAGAAGTTCACCCAGCAGTATATTCGATGACAGTAGAAAGTCCAGGGAAAGTTAAATATGAAGATATTGGAGGATTAAGAAATCAAATGAGAGAAATACGAGAAGTAATTGAATTACCAATGACAAATCCCGAATTATTTGAACGAGTAGGAGTTAAAGCACCTAAAGGAGTATTATTATATGGACCACCAGGAACAGGAAAGACACTACTTGCAAGAGCACTTGCAAGTAATTTAGAATGTCACTTTTTAAAAGTTGTTGCAAGTGGGATTGTAGATAAATATCTTGGAGAG